CGTGGGGGCTGGGGGCTGGGCACGTGGGGGCTGGGGCTGGAGCTCTGGTGCTGAACTTCGTGTGTTTCCTGGGCCGCTTCTCATCTTCTTGGCTCAGAGGAGAGACGGGTCCCCAACCGGACGCAGGTGGTGCCGGTGCTCCTCACGGGGTCGGCACCGGGCGGGCCGGGAGACCCCGCAGCTTTGGGCAGGGGTGCAGGGGTTCGGGGGGTAGTTTAGGGTGGCCAGGGGGGCTGCTTTGGGCCCAGTGGAATGAAAGGCTGAGGTTGGAGTCTCTCGGCCCCTTTCCCAGGGAGCAGCAGGAGAAACCGGGCCCATGGGGGAGAGAGGTCACCCAGGCCCCCCAGGGCCCCCTGGAGAGCAGGGACTGACGGGAACAGCTGGAAAAGAAGGCACGAAGGTCAGTACAGTGCTGGCTCCGGCAGCGCACCAGCTAGAGTGGGACCCACGGAGCCCCGCACGGCCCTGCGCGAGGACGACACGCACATTCGTGAAGCGCCCTAACTGTGGGCAAAGCAGGGGAAATGGGGCGAGAGGCACACGATGCCTGTGCAGACACTGCTTTATTGAGTTTACACTTAAAACCTGTATGGTTTTTCGAGCCAATGTCACCCCAATAAATTCAATTTAAAAAAGGTGTAGTAGAGGCTGGGCAGAGGGGAACTTGGGGACCAGGTTGGGGATGTGAGGGGGTCAGAGATCGCTCTGCATAATGTGGGAGCGTGGCTGTGGCTCACCACCTCTCCTTCTCTCCTAGGGAGACCCCGGCCCTCCTGGGGCCCCAGGGAAGGATGGTCCCGCTGGGCTGAGGGGCTTCCCAGGAGAGAGAGGCCTCCCCGGCACTGCTGTGAGTGACCCCAGCGACCGCCTGTAACGAGTCCCCGTGAGCCCTGGCGCCCAGAACCCCCACTCCCTTCCCTTGGAGCCCATCCCACCCCTAACCCTGCGAGTCTCCTTAGCCCGCCCCGTGATGTCCCACTTCCTGTCTCTCATCTGTTGCTCCGAATCTCTGGTTCATAGGGCGGAGCCGGCTTGAAGGGAAATGAAGGTCCGGCCGGCCCCCCTGGTCCTGCGGTGAGTCTGGGGTCCCTGGGGGCAACGGAGGACCAGGAAGGGGTGGGCGAGGAAGAGTGAGGAGCGGCATCTGCACCTCGCTGGCCGGGGCGGGTGGTCGGGGCGGGCACAGCACGAAAGGCAGGGCCAGCCATAATGCATCCGATTGGGGCTCTTCTCCTGGGTACCGTGGTGGGGGGGCGGGGGGCGTGTCCTCTGGTGTGTAAGCTGTGGTCTCCTCCTTGGGGTCTGACTGCATTTCCTCTCTTAGGGCTCCCCTGGGGAACGCGGTGCAGCGGGATCCGGGGGACCCATTGGCCCCCCTGGGCGCCCAGGACCTCAGGGTCCCCCGGGAGCAGCAGGAGAGAAAGGTGTCCCGGTGAGTGTGGCTGGGGGTGTGCAGCGCCGCGCAAGGGGCCGTCC